TCCTATGATTCGAATTTTTTTTTTTGTAATCCATGATTAGAATTTTTGAAAATTTGTGTATTTTTTTTTTAATCCTATGATCGATTTTTTTGTAAAATTTGTTTTTTTTTTTTTAATCCATATTATTCAAAAAGAAAATGAGAGATGATGATTCTGAGGCCACCCTATCCCGGCCATATTATTCACATATCGAGTCCCAACAGCAACAGTGTAGGGATGAGCACGAAATACTGTAAATTAAATGCTGAATGGCGGTTCATGCAGGGAAAGAACATATCAATATTCGCATATTCATTCACAAACATGAAAATTCTTAATGGAGTACCCTCATTTTTTATTGAATTCCTAAAAAACAATATTTATAATGAATTTTAATAATTTTTTCGAATATTTTTTAAGCTTTATTCTGACCGATTCACCCGATTCTCGATCCGAATCGACGATTCGCCAATCCAGATCGATTTTTTGGAAGCCCGATCCAAATCACCGATCCGTTTTTTAAACCATTGATACCACCTATTAACTCGTGCGCTTGAATTCTCAACCTACAGCGAAGCGCAGAAAGTAAATAGTGGTTACATTCAGGGACTTTGACTCATTTTTCTACCATTTTACCTTTGGATTCTAGATTTTGAAACTGGAAACTTCCTCTATAATATTGTAGTTCTCTTATTGCTTTCTTATGGTTTGCTTTTTGTTTTTCCGTTGGCTTTTAGTTTCCTCATTAGACAAACATTACCCTATGCAAGTAAAAGGAAAAAAAAGTTGAACTTTTCTCAAGTCTCAATCAAATTCTGACTCTTAGCCCAATTTCACTTAAACGGGGAACTCGTGCGATGGGACTCGGCTGAGTTACTCAGTTTCGCCCGGTGGCCGTGTGTTCATCCCCTTCTCTCTCTCTTACTCTCGCTTTTCTCTTTTTTTTCATCCTTCTCACTTTTTCTCACTGCCCCTCTCTCCTTGTCCATCTCTCTTTAATTTGCATTATATATTGTTTTTGGGTATTTCTGTGGGGATTATGGCCCCTCTCCGTTTTATAAATTATTAAGGGGTTAGGTTGGTTTTGTTAGTTGGGATCGAAAGGCACGACACATGCAACAGAGATAAGAGGCGTTCTACCACCGCGACCCAGTCCACCCTAAAACCCGCATTCCCCAAATCTCACATTCCTAAACGTCCATCATGAAGACCAGTAAGAAGAAACAAAAAACCTAATCATTGGCCCAGCTGATGACCTTAAGGCAATGTATGCATTGTCCCCCTGCCACTTCACCCTCCATGATGCTCGCCTTTTCCCTAGCAACTCCTAAACCAGTCGAGTCGAGCATCTCTTTCATAGCCCCAACTTTCTCGGACATCTTCAATCTCCACCATGCTTGCTGGTCTTGTGCAAATTCAGACCAAGCATTTCTCTCTCGTTGGGTTTATCTCGCTAGTTGATGAGGTAGGCAAGGATTTGCAATGGGGGTGAAGGCGATACACCTCGGCACGAGGAAAAAAATAACTGTCCCCCTTTGCTCTTTCATTTTTTTGGTTCTCTATTATTTTATTTTATTTTATTTTATTTTTGAAACGTATTCTACTCAGGCAAGTTACTCATACTCACCGGAGCAAATCGGCTTGGGCCGAGGTTTGCAACATTTCATTGAAGTACCGAAATATACATGTGGATTTATTTTCCATGTTCTCTCTTATAATGTATAGGCATGTGATTCGGACCGGCATATAAAGACGGGTCCTTGCCTTATTCTTGTTTGGCAACGGAACAAATTTTTCAGTAATCAACAGCAACAGATCCGAAAACTTTATCTAAAAGAACATATACGAAAGGTAAAAGAGATGGAAGAATTTCTTACCTGCTTATTCCAATCAGTCCTATATGTCATGAAAGCCAAAACCATGGTCTGAGCTCCAGTGCCACATAACATTCCAATCCAAATACCCTGAAAATAGTAATGAAGGTTCAAATATATCTAGCAGTGTCAGTAGGTCTCCAACATAATGACAAGTAATACTCTCAATAATTTTTCAAGAAATTTTCGATGTTGTTGGCCCCACTTAATCAATTATCCTAAGGGAATTAAATTACCAAATAAAAATATAAATTATGAAAAAGGGAGGAAATGATATAGGTTTTCATGTAAAAGACTAACCTTGACCCCTCTTTCAAGCACGTAGCCGAGTACCAATCCAAGGGGAATCCCAATTACATAATAACAAGTTATATTCACGTAAGCCACTTTTGACTGCCAACCGGCCCCGATTGCCACCCCTGCGGAGATAGAACCTTGAAAATTACATTTGTAGGAAAATAATGAAAATTCCTTGAGAATTAGCATAGTACCCAACCTTATGATGGCATGAGCTAATCAATGTGCTTGTGAGTGATTGTGCACACCCTAAAGAATCCATTGTTTAGAACTGGTTAGACAGTGTAGACTCGACAGGATGAAATTTGTACAAATTTTCAGCACCAATGGACATACTAATTAGTTCTTTCATAGGGTGGCGAAGAAAAATATATTCTCAAGATGTAGAAAATGCACTCTCTATGTGAAGAATGAAGACAGGGAAATCCTTTGACTGGTTATCTGGGGTGTTGTTAGATGTGTCCATAGATCTGGTGTTATCATTTAATAGACATTTTAAATGGGGAAATTTGGGAACTTCAAAATTAATTAAAAAATGGAAAGCAACAAACTCAGAACAGGAAATTTGGGGACATTTTTCTTTTCATTATAAGTTCTACTGATATCCTAAATATATTAAAAAATGGAAAGCAACAAACTGAGAACAGGAAAAAAGAAGAGTGATAAAGTGGAATAACATCATTTTCCAAATTTAAAAAGAATACTAAAATTCAACCAAAAACAGCCTAAAACCCAAGGCATCGATAGTTTCTATGGCTATTGATAAGTTTTCTCTAAGGAAGTAGTTTAATCAGAAATTTTCTATGAATAAGCATCGATATAACTATGTACTACCGGAAAGAACTGGTTGGACACTGTTGAGACGGACTGAGAAAGCCAGAAGAATGGATAAGTTGATGACTGCTTCTCGGACTTGCTCATCATTTGTAAATATGTAAGCCATCTGTTTTCGGAACACAATGAAGAGCACCCAAAGCACACATCCAAGAGACATTGAAGTCAATGTAACCACCAGAGTTGCAAATTTCGCCCCTCGTGCATTCCCAGCTCCAAGCTCATTTGCGACCCTCACACTGAATAGTGTGAAAAACAATGGTAAATTAAGGAAAATGAAGAAAAGAAAATTGAGTAAAGCATTTGCAGAAAGTCCTATCAATACTTATCCTAGTTACCCAGTCCATTGTAGATGTACTTTTACAATACTATACAGACCACATTTGTGGCTCAATTTCGCCAGAAAATTGTGATCTAATTCAAGCCATATTCAGACTAGGGTACAAACTCAGAAGCTAGCCGATATGTGATTATTCTAATAAGTTCTGTATGACATGAAGTGGTGGAAATGTTACCTGGCACTGGCAAGGAAGCCAAGAGCGATCATCATCTCCCAACCATTCATATTGAGACTGTATGACACCAAGAACATGGTTAGCGGTTTGTTAAATGTTGTTACTGAAGAGGAACAGGTCTTCAGATATCGCAACTAAAAAGAAAACATATATATATATATATATATATATATATATATATATATATAGTGT